AACTTTAAAAAGAAATGAACTGGGAAAACTAAAAGTAAACCCAATAAATAAAATCAAAGGCAAACTACAAACTAGAAATAAATAGACAGGTAAGACTTTTTTTTTAAAAAAATATAAAAATGGCGCCCAAAGGCTGCCGAAAATAAAAGAAAAAACAATAAAAGAAACTCCTCTCTTTTTGGTCAAAATTCAATTAAAATGTACAAAAAAGAAAAAGAAAAGAAATAAAAAGTCTGGTTTGAAACTAGTCAAACGAAATTAAAAATTAAAAGCAAAAGAAATACAAACTAGTCAAAAGAATAAAAAGATTGCGACCGAAGTCGCTAATTAAATAAAAAACGAAGGAAGGTATAAAAAAGGAAATAAAACCAAAGCTTTCATTTTCTTTTTTTCTTAAATGGTACTAAATTTTTCAATCCAAACTAAAAAGAAATAAACAGAAATAAAAAAGCAGTCGTCCGGTACGACTTTGTCAAACCGGACTAAAATAAAAATAAAAAATGTGGGCCGAAGCCCAGAAAAAAAAAAAAAAATAAAAGAAAAGAAAAGAAAAAATAAAACTTGAGCAATAACTTAACTTAAACAGAAAAAACCGAAGAAAATGGGTCAATTAAGCAGAAAGCAGTTCGTCCAGTATTAATAAAATCCACGCGCGCCAAAGATGGTTCGCCGGACAAGTTCGTCAGACTGCAAAATAAAGCATACGGTTACAAAATTTCAGAAAAGAGTCAGAACCACGTCTTACGATGGTCACCCGATCTCCCAGAACTCTATAGAACTGTCCTATTAGTAGTAGAGAGATCAGTCTATTCTGATAAGGTGGGTAGCCCCAACAGAAAGAAATCTGAAATTATTGTTAAGCTAAGTAACAAAGAAAAGCATAAAACAACTATCAATTCTAAGACTGACTGCATGGTTGTCGACAAAAGAAACGTCCCATGGTGTGAACGGCGTATTCTTCTTTATCCTCTTCATATCACATTGTTAACGAGGGAACCGCTTCTTCTCCAGAAAAGATGCATTGTAGAACGAATCCCCCGAGAGGATGTTTTACCAATTACTAAAATTCTAACCTCTTCATGTCTGGAATTCGTAGTTATCTACCTCACGGATCCCCACAATAGTTAACTCTTTCGACCTACACATATTTTTTAACCATTCCACTGCAAGCAAGGCAATAAAGCTACTGAGTGTGTTATTGGGTATGAAAGAATATGAGAAAATGAACCATTATTAGAGAGATAGAGAGAACGTTAAAAGATCAGGAATTGACATTCCATGTAAATCTTTGAAGAGTTAATTGGGAAGCATGAAGCCGGAAGAGATTTCCACAAGTGAGAAGTGTGATAGAAGAAACTGTTAGCATAGAACTTACGGTTGCATCTAGCTATTTCAACTGTAAAGAATGAGACCTTGCCGCCAGTTCTAGTACTGCGCTTAAATTCGTAAAATCTAGGTACAAAATAGGAAAGCTCATCAGAAAACTACCATGAATATATTTACAGAAAAGTCATAGGAAAACTACGTTACGGCGGTGGTAAAGTAACTCAACCGAGATGTCAAGTCGGACCCATAGCATTGTAAATTCTTCTTTGATTCTTATGGGTTAGTGTGGTAAAAGACGAAATAAAATGTGATACAAAATGCTGAAATATGCCTTCCAGAAATTAAGAAATGTATGTAAAGTGTTATGTAGTGGTTTCACAGTGGAGGCTTGTATTTTGTACTAAGTCGGTCCTAAAATAGGTTCGATGTACAAAACGTTAGGAACATGATATAATATTAGGTTGGTGCAAAAATAATGACGTAATAATGTCGTTTTTGGACGTATTTTTTAACGTCAAAAAACGACATTATTACGTCATCATTTTTGCACCAACCTAATAGGTAATGACGCAGAGAAATCTAGTGATGGTCGCTGATACTTTAATATCCGACTAACGGTCGTCCGACATCGACTGACTGACAAACTCTCTGCCGACCTGCTACTACTACTCTTGCCACTACTACTTATTATTGGTGGAAGAGTCTATTAACAATAGAATAGGTGTGTTTCACTATAACAAAAAGAGATGAAATATACCTTTAGAAACAAAGATAACAGTGATAAACAGCAGCAATACGATATATAACCACACACACACACACACGAACACACACACAGTGTTACCAAGGCTAGAGCGCCAATCTACCACGCTAATTCTCCTCAGGCTGTAGATTATTATAATTTGTCAAAAGATAACTCTTTTCAGTTAGAAAAGACGAAACATTAATAAGATATAGAAGAGTTAAGTGATTATGCACTAAAATCTTTAGGCCAAATGCATAAATTTTGATACAAAATATTTTATTTTCCGCATGAACCTAGGAAAAAATGATTCTGAATATCATGGATTGCTGCAAGCGTTACTGCCATAAACAGATTATATATATATATATATATATATATATATATATATATATATATATATATATATATATATCACAAATCACCTTATATGGGAAAAAGGCCTATTTCGGCAGACGAAGATATCTGTCGTCTGTCTTATCAACACCGGTGTGGACTGAGTTCGTGTCATAAACAGGAAATTATTTGTAAAAGCTAAAAAAAAAAAAAAGTCGAAAAACCAATACAGAATTTATCCATTTCAATGTTTCAATCAGACGAAAGGCACAAGATAGAGGTCAGGGTGGGTGGAAGGTAATTGTCTTAAAGGGAAGAAGTTTTATAAAAATTAAACCCGAATATTTACCTTATGACATACATTAAACTAATTTCTTATTTTTACTATACATATATATATATATATATATATATATATATATATATATATATATATATATATATATATATATATATATATATATATATATATATATATGGCAAATACTATAAAAAATGAGTAACATTTTGTGTCGATTAGTTTTGCTGATGGACTTTTCCATGTTACGAATAATACTTCTCTTGACAAGGAGGAGGAGGAGAAATTCAGCCAGAAATTTAAAGTTTTGGAAAAAAAAAAGTAAAGGGAAAATATATCGTTTCAATCGTATTTTCTTCAAATATCATTTGCAGACTAAGTAAACAGGATATATATATATATATATATATATATATATATATATATATATATATATATATATATATATATATATCTTAAAGATGTGCTATATTTATGAGATAAGTGCTCAATATCAGAGATAGAGCGTGTGTAAATATAAAAGTGAACCTAGAAGTCAATACTTAGAGGCGACAGTCTGTTTCATGCTAGATGCAATCATCAGGCCTGACGATTGCATCTAGCATGAAACCAACTGTCGCCTCTAAGTGTTGAGTTCCATGTTCACTTTTATATATATATATATATATATATATATATATATATATATATATCAATGTGTGTGTTTGTCTGTGTGTATCAATATATATATATATATATATATATATATATATATATATAATATATATATATAAAAATATATATAACATATATATATATATATAATATATATATATATAGCAAAAAAATGAGTAACATTTTGTGTCGATTACATGAACTTTTCCATGTTGAATAATACTTCTCTTGACAAGGAGGAGGAGGTGAAATTCAGCCAGAAATCACTTTTTGGAAAAAAAAAAGTAAAGGGAAAATATATATTTCAATCGTATTTTCTTCAAATATCATTTGCAGACTAAGTAAACAGGATATATATATATATATAATATTTTATATATATATATATATATATATATATATATATGAAGAAATATAGTATTGATGTGCTATATTTTGAGAATATATAATTGTTGTGTTATTGAACCTAAAGTCAATACTTAGGGCGAGAATTCATCAGGCCTGACGATTGTCTGAAACCAACTAATGATTATACTTTATATATATATATATATATATATATATATATATATCTGTGTGTGTGTGAATAGATATCAATATATATAGGGACTAATAAATATATATATATATATAGATATATATATATATCCCTGTGAATAGATAAATAGAAAGATAAGAGATAGATAGGTATTCGCTGCAATATAAATATATATATATATATATATATATATATATATATATATATATATATAGATAGATAGATAGATAGATAGATAGATAGTTAGATAGATAGATAGATTGATTGATTGACAGAGAAGGAAATTAAGCAGTACGTATATAAATACGATTGTCTCTAATACATATTTATTCTATCATAAATAAAGCATCAGTTTCCATTTCCAGGACAAATATTAAGAAGAGAAATCATGGGAAATTTCACACTCACAGAACATATTTCAAGTAAGCGGGAAAAAAATTAAACAGTGTTTAACTACCAAAAAAGTTTATGCGCCTCTATGTCCGAACAGGAAGTGTGAAAGATGGTGAAAAACGGAAACTCATTAAGAGCTACAAAGGAGAGGATGTAATGGAGTGCTAATATTGCACCCGTCCCAAATGGACACGGCATATAGCAGAAGATTAATATTAATGCAATATGATCTTTATGTGCCGTGTCCCCTCAGAAAGTAGACGATCATGTCTCTCCACAACCTCCTGTCACTTGTAGCTCTCAATAAACTTTATCTTTGTGTTATTTCTCTTAAGTCCTGTTCTTCCAATTTACCCCAGCTCACCAAGTATATAATGCGTTGATTTCCTATATCCCTTTTGACCTTTTTTGCCCTGTCAGTATAAAATTTTCAAAGGCGTCCTTCCTAATTATATGCCCCAGAATCCTTAAAAAGTCTCTCTCTGATTTTAAATATTAGTTTTCTTTTTATTTCAAATTTCCCTTAAACTTTGTTTTTGCTTAAATGTTCCGTCCATGATATCCTCAGCATCTTTCTGTAGAACCACATTTAAATTGCTTCAAGTATCTTCTTCCTCTTTCAGGGGACTAGTACCGCCATATTGGAGGACATATAAGCACGTAGCAGTTTAGTACTTTTTTTTTCTTTCTAGCGAAATTTTCGTATTTTTTAC